GGAAGGTTAAGCGTCTTCTGCTTCAACGATGACAACCGCCGTGTAAATCGTAGTCGAATCTAAGTAATGTCACGTCCTAACATCGAGAACTAAGGCAGTGACAACAAAACAATAAAGAACAACTCTAATGAGCATAATCAGAAGTATCGATCCTCATATCACACAAATTAGTAGGCTGCGAGTTCCTGATGGCGACCATAAACTTTGTCCATAGTCTTCAACCACCTGTGTCTTTGGAAACCTTGTGTTGTGAGTTTATCCGTCAGCAGTCGACATCTTTCACGGAATAATATTCGGAGCAAGCTCTTGAATACGAAAGATAATAAAAAAAAAAAATCAGTGACGTTTTCACTTACATCGATACAAAGGAATAGTGGTCACGATGCTTACCGGATGTGTTGGTCTGTAATTATCAGACAGACGGGCTCAGTATTTGATTGGCAGTTACATTTATCCAATCAAAGCAAAGCTATAATCCTGCTGCCGGAGACATCGGTACTAGGTATTGGCAAAAATTGATGCAACAGCTCCTACAGAAATGAACATATATGCATTACGTAACATTTTACAAAACTAGAAGTCTAAATAACTATGGTCTTTTACACACTACTTCATCAGGGACAGAATTGCTGCACAGATTTTTATTTCGAATAACAGAATTTGTTTTTTAAATGACGACTGTTACAGTCACAAAAGTATTGTAATATTAATTTTAATGTTGCCACTTGATCACTTGTGTAATAGTACGCGATGTATTTTCAGATTGATGTCGTCAGTGTGGTAGGAAATGGTACATCAAAGCATAAGTAATAATTAAATCGACATATTAGCGTGGCAACTTAACCGGCCACATTACCCTGACGACGTGCTGCAGTGACCAATGTACCTTGGACGAGACCAAGGACAAAAAACAGTGCAAAAACGATACATGTCTTAACTGATTCAAAGGGGGAAGTCGATCAGATACATACCTCAGTTATTTCCATATGTATTTGCATTATTTCAATGTAATTTTTAGGTTCTTCAAAATATAACTATGGTTCTTCATTATATATCTCATTTACTTGTATGTGAACCTCAATTAGTTCATTACGTAACTAAATTGCTTCAGAACCTCTGATAAAGGGGCATATAAGAAACCTACTAAAATGGTTCCCACATAGGTCGTCCTTTACGATCACACAGCGAGACACAACAATATACCTAAACTAACAAGAACTATGGAACTATTGAATCGGTAGATAATTGTATACGACCATAATAAGTAATCAAACGATCGTACAAATATTACTATATATCATTCCTGTCCTACGTCAGCCCCTAAAATATCGAGGAAATTATATACAATTAATAAAAACGCACATTAGTTTAACTATATATTTGATATGACGAACTGTCACTAATTAAATTAGTTATGTCCGTACAATTTAAAATGATAATAATGGATTTCCAATTGTAACTGGATTACAAAATGGACAATCTCTTAACTATTTCCTGATGTACGGGATATTTGAAACGTCTGCTGTGTTCGAAAATATTATTAGGAAACGTGTGATTGATTAACATTACGAACAGGGATCTGACGCGGAATAAGGTAAGACGGTAACAGTACACAAATCGATACCAGAATTAATCAGTTATATGATGAAAAGAAACCAGAATCAATCTCAAAAGAAAGTGACGGCTGACCGAAGCTATGTTGACAAAGCCACTTTCCTTGTGCTACAGGACTTTGAAGAACGTGATTGACCAGAATCAGGTTGTAGCATATTGTATAAAAGAATGGCGTACGACCTTGTCAACGGCCCAAGTAATTAACATTTTGTTCCGATATACATCCAAATGCTTTCCTAATATAACAGCATATGACCGTCTGACCACGTAGAAACCTAAATATTTGTCTTGCATAGCACCATATGAAAACCTGGCCAGAAGAATCGTTATGACTAAATACTAACATTTATGCAGTAGTTAGTAATGTTTTTCGGTGTTTTGATAAAACGAAATCTAGTTAACCCTCAGCTATGGATTCCGTTAGGTTATTTAAAGGCTTTGAAACCATACAAATCAATGTAAAGTCACGTTGAAACTCGTGTTCGTTTGGTGTTATGACAATATTTTACCAATCAATATTTTTACCTTACGGTATTTTAACAGTGAATTAAAATCAAAACAATACCTGCATTTCATATCATTCATGCTCCTTTTTGTTGTCGTTTAATGAATTGCCATTATGATAAGTCAATGGGGATGGGGATGAAGAGACAAAGTGTGTGAAATCATCCATCAATACGAGGAATCATCAAAGCGTTATATACCTCGTTATGTCTAATGGATTTCCTCCTAAGTCTGTGTCTGTGTATGAATGACTACTTAATACAATAATATAAAAGGACAGTACGACAACAAATCATATGTGTTCTTCCGACGACCAAAGTTTCACAAATAGCACTAATTGATATTGGAAAAATACCAGGACTACAGGTGAAAAGGACATGCTTAGAAAACAGGACCAGTTATAGTTCAGATAGGCTACATTTGAAAGCATTGCGTACCAGTTGAATTATTTCTGTCTGGCTTCATTTATCACTAATAAAGTGAAAATGGAGTTAACGTTGCTGTATCCGTTAGAGTTACAAATAAATTGATTAGAATTTTAAATGCAATTCATGGTTCAGACACAATCTCTTGTACGAGTCACTATAAAGTTGATCAGACCTTTAAATGGCTGGCTTTGCTTCTTTGAGCTCGATCTCTTCTATCATGTCTTGATATTTTGCAATCAGTTTTATTCAGCTACCCAAATATACAAATGAGGTCTAAGTGTACTTTTTGAATATTCAGACGTCAATGGTTTTGAAATCAAAGTGCAAGGCAATAACTTCGACATATCATCAATTGAAGTTACAGTACAGTCGACGCAGAGTAATGGAAATAGCATGTACATGTACATTCAATGAAACCAAGCAGTATACGTAACATTTATCATGGTGTGTTGGTTCAGTCTAATTCCTACTCTCGTCATCAATTAAATGTCTGCGTTTGAAACATTTTATTTAATACAGCGGAATAATGTCTCTTTCCAACATCAACTACCAATTAAATTGATATCATTACTTTCTTAGATTGATAAAGATGAGAATATTTTCCACTAGTTTTTTTTATTATTTGTAATAGAATTTATTTTGTTTTATTCTTGACTCGACTCCGACGTTGTGGTTGATGTATTCGAACAATCTGGTTGTCTAACATTGACGATTTGATATGATACCTTGATACCGCAAAGTATAATGCATACATACAACCAAAACGTTACCCTACTGCATTTATTTACCATGACTCTATAAGAAACATGTGATTCAATAGTTTACAGGTTGTTTGAGCCGACCTAGAAATAACAGTCAATCGTGTTCATTTTCTTTTCTCTCTCTCCAAATTATACAGCAGTTCCGCAGGATTAATAAAATTCCTGTCATGAACACAAATATGCATACCTTGCATTATGTGTACTGTATGAAGATCCATGCACCTGTAAATAACCTTCGGGAATCCTCAGGATCGTATAAGGCAAGCAACACCTCCATGATTATCTAGAGTCAGCTCTGGGTATAACCTTCGGGATCTTATATAGTCAGCTCTGGGTATAACCTTCGGGATCTTATATAGTCAGCTCTGGGTATAACCTTCGGGATCTTATATAGTCAGCTCTGGGTATAACCTTCGGGATCTTATATAGTCAGCTCTGGGTATAACCTTCGGGATCTTATATAGTCAGCTCTGGGTATAACCTTCGGGATCTTATATAGTCAGCTCTGGGTATAACCTTCGGGATCTTATATAGTCAGCTCTGGGTATAACCTTCGGGATCTTATATAGTCAGCTCTGGGTATAACCTTCGGGATCTTATATAGTCAGCTCTGGGTATAACCTTCGGGATCTTATATAGTCAGCTCTGGGTATAACCTTCGGGATCTTATATAGTCAGCTCTGGGTATAACCTTCGGGATCTTATATAGTCAGCTCTGGATATAACCTTCATGTCATCTAGAGTCAGCTCTGGGTATAACTTTCGGGATCTTATATAGTCAGCTCTGGGTATAACCTTCGGGATCTTATATAGTCAGCTCTGGGTATAAACTTCGGGATCTTATATAGTCAGCTCTGGGTATAACCTTCATGATCATCTAGAGTCAGCTCTGGGTATAACTTTCGGGATCTTATATAGTCAGCTCTGGGTATAACCTTCGGGATCATTTATAGTTAGCTCTGGGTATAACCTTCGGTATCTTATTAAATCAGATCTGGTTATAGTCTTCGGGATATTATTAAGTCAGCTGCAGAACAATAATTTACTAAGTGAAAGTTTGATTATTATTTTTTCTATAGCTTAAATTTTCTTCTAATCAAGGAAATCTAATCAAGAATATCTATGCTCACGTGTACGTTTTCTATCTTTGGAGAAACCAAGGAATACATTTGCGTCGTCGGTAATTTTCTCACATATATGTTTAAGTAACATTATGTTTTTCATTTCGTAATTGCATCCCTACTGTTAATATAAGGCACAACAGTCGTATTATGAACGACTATATATAGATCTGTATTAGTGTATGAACAACACTTTATAAGTAAATATTACTGTATGAATAATTATATGTAAATCTATATCACTGTATGAACAACTAAATATAAGTCTATATTACTGTGTGAACAACTATATATAAGTCTATATTACTGTGTGAACAACTATATGTAAGTCTATATTTCTGTATGAACAACTATATATAAGTCTATATTACTGCATGAACAACTATATATAAGTCTATATTACTGTGTGAACAACTCTATATACGTCTGTATTACTGTTTGAACAACTATATGTAGATAATCACCACAAATAAGAAGTAAGGAAGTATCTGTGTGTTAAAAGGTATTACTGATTAAAACAATTGTCTCAATTTTATTCTATTGAAGTAACATAATTGTTATTATTGTTTCAGATCTTTCCCGACTCATTCATTAAACTTCATCCCGACAGATATGATGTAGGAATCGCCACATCTGAACTTTTTTTTCATCAGAGAGAGACAGGCTTGTGTGTAGTGATCCAGGACCGGTATTTGGCTGATGGCTTCCTTGATGGCTTGTGGGCCTTTGACGTGGAACAAGCCGGTAACTTTTCCAAAATCATCGTGATTAGTCACAAAGACAATTTCAGGCAGTTATTTACAAAACTTCATCAAATTCACGAAGATGGATGTAAAGTTGTGATAGTACACTGTGAACCAACCTCAGTGCAACGTGTCATCGAAGTAGCGGAAATAGCAGAGCTTTACAAAACAGGGTTTGCATGGGTTCTTATCGACTCGAGTAATCATAGGTTTACCGATTTACAGGAAGCGCTTCCGAATGGAATACTTATCGTTACACCGAAAGAAGACATAGAACAGCTGTCAGAAATTTTAAAAAGAAGCCTTTCCTCTTTACAAAGTATCATTCCTTCTGTTTATTCCCAGTATTCATCAAATTATTCAGATTTCCGGGATCATCTCTACAGGTGAGTCATAATATACTTAGAAAACTTTGAAAATGGTCATGTTTGTAAAGTGAATTTAACGCCTGGATTAGTTGTTCATGTGCATTCATGCGATTTTATAAGATATTGATATTTATTATATAAGTATCAATAGATGTCGATGAAAAGTCATAAAATCCAAAACGAATTGAATATTCTAATTATCATTTGACCAAATTTATATGGCAATAATGTGGCAATAATATGGTTTACTGTGTACGTCATCATCCTTGGGCTTCATAACGTCATCACAACTTCATATCAACGAGGCTCTATGACAAACAAACAAACAAACAAAATATTATGTTATCACATAATGTACTGTGTTATCCAGTGAATATACCCATGTCATATTTATTTGCGTAGTAACCGATGTTATATGACCTATCAGCCCTGTGATTGGTTGTAAGTTTCAATTGTTTCAATTGTTACGTCACGCCTGGGACAAGAACATGACGTCAAAAACTTACACACTGGAGTCAAAATGGCGGATTTTACTTTTCAAGGTTCGATGAAAATTGTTTTTTTACAGGAATAAATGCCACAAATCTTGATTATGTTTTTAAAAAGGATCTTACAGTCGTTTTCACTTCATATGAAATTTATGAACTCGTCACGATTACTTCATTTTAGCTCGCCAGAGGGTCGCTAAATTGAAAAATTCATAGACTCGTTTCATAAATCTCATATGAAATGGTAACTCATGTAAGATACTTTATATATTTCACTATCCTTTTTTTTGTTTTTTGCAGTTCTATCACAGCTCTCGAATACAACGAATCAAGCACGGGTCTCGCATTCGACGTCAATAGGAGGCGAACTAATGCAACCTTCCAACTCTACAACAAACAAGGAGAAACCTCTAGCACTGGTTGGATCAACGTAGGGCTATTCACAAACCATATCAATGATATCAGGACAATTATTTGGCCTGGAAGCTCAATTTTCGGGCCTTTAGTGAACCATGGGCAGTTTTATCGCGTTGTCACGAGACCTGCCGAACCGATGGTATTCATCAAAAATAGAACTGACGGTGACGAACCGTGTTTGGGCGAAATCCGATGCTTTAAGTCGCTAGGAGAGGATTCTGGGTTTCTCTATCATCCAAACTTGCCCGATAATGTGAACAAAGCACTGGGGAATACTTCGTACGAGATGTATTGCTGTAGTGGTCTCGCAGTGGACTTACTTGAGGCACTTTCCACAGATCTCAACTTCGACTATTTGTTATACTTTGAGGACGACAACGACTACGGAACATACGAAAACGGAAGTTGGAGTGGCATGATGGGAGATTTGACATCTGAAAGTGCCGATATTATCATCGGGGCTTTCAGTATCAACTCGGAACGTTCCAACCACATCCTATTCACAGAAGCGTTTCATATTTCCGGTTATTCAATGGTTACGCCATCAGCGCGTACGAAACCCGCAATAGACGCGTTCCTAGCGCCTCTGGACTGGTCGGTGTATTTTTGTATATTTCTCAGTGCAACTGTAACAGGGTTTGCAACATCCATTTTAGAATGGAACAGCCCATTTGGACTGAATCCTTGGGGCAAGAAACGAAGCAAAAACTATACCCTTGGGTCCGGACTCGTTATGGCTTTCTCTGTGTTGTTCGGACATACGGTCAGTACGAAATCTCCGAAAGGATGGCCGAGTAAGGTGCTTCAGAATTTCTGGTCGGGATTGGCCATTTTTATTGTGTCAAGTTATACAGCAAATTTAGCTGCCTACTTGGCTGGTAACATTGGTGAAGACGAGATCAGCAGCATCTATGATGAAAAGGTAGGACACATCTCATCTAGAAATAGTAGCTACCTCGGAATTTACAAGGGTATGAGAAGCGAAACCTTCGTCACTTAATGTTCATCAATTCTTTTATTCAAAAGTAAAACATAGTGCATGTTCAAAATTAATTATGTATTATTGTTTATAACGATATACACCAGAAATACACCAGTGGTCCGTTGTAAGTCAGATGAAGCATTGGTGTGTCTTTAGCTGATCCTGTAATTTTAATAATTAAACGTCAGTGACTTTTCCTAATTCTAACTATCATTGAAAGTGAGTAGAAAGCGCTGTTAGGATTTACGCTAATCTTCACATTTATTATTTGAGTCACTTACGATGTTTTATCTAATTTAAGGCACAATATCCATAATTCTAATTCTGCGATTATTTTATGGTTGAATCAGGTACGTTAACCATTTCACCCCTATGTAACTTTAGTAGACTCTACCATGTATTGATCTAGACGAGTCCATTATTGTCTATNAACTTTAGTAGACTCTACCATGTATTGATCTAGATGAGTCCATTATTGTCTACAGTGGTGAAAGGGTTAATACACAACTGTGTCTAGTCCACTTGGTGACGGATATAACCATTATACAAATGAAGTTCAAAATTGTTGCTTGATTAATTTGGCTCTTTGATGTAGGCATACTCAACAGGTAAAGCGTTGTTTTTACTGAATTGATTCAGAAGATCTGAAATACATCAACGTCCCTTCCAACATTTCCATTTTCCGTTACATTAAATGTAAATATTACTTTGGGAATTACTAGCTTCTCAAAGATAACGGATATATATCTATGCATTAATCTACACAGGGAGTAACATTAGCAAAGGTTGTGAATGTTTGTCCAACGTCAGCAATACCAGTGTCTGAATAATTTGTGTCCATGAACAACACCATCAATCATTGAACGATATAGAAATGGTAGGTTTTGTAAAACCCAATCAGAATATTCTTTTTAATTTAGATGCTTCATGTTGAGTTTAAGATTAAATGACTGTTTCATAATTAATAAAACGATTACTTGTACCCGCAGATCAATTTGAAAACAGTTTCGGCCATACGGTCAAGCGCCGTCGTCCAATACCTGAGCAAAATCAACACGCACCTGAGTGGGCGACTGACAGAGAGGGATTTCCAGTCTATGTCTGAAGTTATTTACTACCTAAGGTATGGCCAGTGATTCGTGGTAAGGCAGTGTTTAATGATATTTTGGTAAAAAATTCACCCTGTGTGTCATTAGGTAAACGTTTTATTTAAACATCTATACAGGCTAATAAACAAGTTTTTTTTATATAAAACTCTTGTTGTTGACGACCAATGAAATATCTTTTTTCATGAACTGTTGTTGCTGATGTCCAATAGAAGTATATGTTACATCAACATGTCAGTACTGATGACCAATCTTATTTTGATAACAATAGCGTCGTTGGCAACCAATGCATCACCCTCTTACATGATAGTGTTTCTACTGATTACTATTCTGTTAGTACATTCAATGTATGTGTCTATAATCAGAAAAAAAAGAAAACTGAATATATTTTTAATTGGTTTTGTACTGGTGAACTGTAAATACATTCAAGCTTCCTGTCCCCCTTCAGGTAAATCGCTAGAGAGTATCATGCATTCCACCGTGGTTTTTATACAAACAGTAAACCCCACTCAATAATTTCGTTATAAATATGACTGGTGCACAAAAGGGCCAGGTAACTTTCGATGAGTGCAGAGTTCGAATCCTGGTCCTTGGACACCCCCCTCCCCCAAACAGCGTAAAAACGGAAATCTAAAGCCGCTCTTATACTCTTATATTCAGCGCTGATCAAAACTAGCCTATCAATTTCTTGTTCTATTTTTTTTAGCTCAGATATTGGTGTTTATAAGGTTTAAAAAGTGCTGGCTAAAAATATAGGAAGTCCAGACCTACCTGTACAAATACAGCCCCAGCCCCTCCCCTTCCACCCCCCTCCCCCAAGCACCACCGCCTTTCTTGGATCCTCAGCCAATGAAGTGTACACATCTCAATACCTCCACATACACTCACGTTAATAGACACACCATTACCACTAGTTCAGCGCCCAGAAAGTATAACATTAAGTTTGACATCGGTTCATTGGTGAATAATGTGGTCACGTGCGAAAGAAAAGCCAAGTTTAAATAAATAAGTGATCTAAGTCACGCTGCCAAACACGAAAGTACAGTCACTTTTATTTTATGAGGTACAGTAGATATAATCAACATATGTCTTTATCTTTAAGTTAAATAATAAACTCGGGTTTAAAAAATGTTGAGTAGTAAATTAACTTTGGCAGAAGCGGCCATTGTTATTTATTTTTCAGACATTTTCTCTGCATCGTTATATATTCCACCATAGTTCACGCGCGTATGTTGATTGTTTCTAAATAAACAATATCCACCGGCATGGCTCTTCCATAAGCCTCTCTCGTATTGCGGATGCAAATCGGTAAGTCGTGTGTGACTAGTCTTAGAGGAATTATTTTGTTGACTTAAGGAACACGCTTTGATGTGTATATATTATTGTTTCCGCACACCGATGTAAACCTCTCAGGACCACTGTGTTTGTTTACGTGACAAAACTCGTTTCCCTCTAGTCTGGTACTGCTGCGGTAGACTAGACCCGACGTGTATAGCTCGGACCAAATATTTACACTATTTTGTATTATCAATGCCACTGTCAGTCGTGCCCTCTCATAGGTTTGTCATGACGATGTGACATTGTAAGTGATACATGTACAATCTGTGTATGTATCGTAATGTACATTTTGCGGGTCATCTTCACACTTATAATTGATTGTAAAATAAATTATGATCCTGATTTAATAGTTTACCATAGTAATAATTATATTAGTGAAAGATGAAATTTCGTAGCAATGTTGCAATAACAAGTGAACAAGGAAATAAAATTCTTCAAAACAGTTTAATACAATAACGCACCATTTTTTCATGTATTTGTCACAATTTAATTTTATTAATGTTAATAATCCAACAATAATCGTATACATTGTTTGATTGTATGTCGTATTGATATTAGCCTATGTAGCTATAAGACCTGCATGTTCAACAGCTGGGTCCAGATAATTGTTTTTGTTACCAATCAGATTTAGTCATATATTGGTCATGTGAGCTATGGGACTCGAACTCCATCTGCAGGTTATTTTGACCATCTGAATCTTAATATGGAAGAAAACAAAATCAAATTACAAGGAAATCAATACTTAATACATGTAACATGTCGTAATTCTGATGATTACAATAATCAACGTGGAGACTGGACGGTCATGATCGTAATTTCATTCCAAGAGTGTGGACTAATTTAGCATTGGAATCAGAGAAAACGAAGAAATGTGTTTGCAATGTGTCACACATGTTAACCTCATTCACAGAATCAGATAGCATGTGGCAAAGGATTGGTCACAGGAACAACTGCATCACTACTGACTGTGACCGTTGATCAAAGACATATCACCACCGTTTTGATCCATCGGTTGTATATCAAGTAGCATCCGAACTAGTTGTGATTGTGTCAGGACAACTGTAGTATGTGAGGGGAAACGGATTTTGTCACGAACACAAACATAATAACATCCCCAACTTCAAAGAGTTGGTTGTAAAGATTTGCCGTACAAAGTTTGACTACGCTCGGTAACTTGTAACTGGTTTTTCTAGATCAATCTAAATGTATCTTGCAGTCAATCAAGTATCCTCCAAATTCCAGAGGTTTCTGTGCAGAGAACAGAAGAAAACGTAACACCTAACATTTCGAGGATGGCACATATATAGAAATGAAAGTATACATTCAATTGCATTTTCTCATGAGGATTTGGTTTGGTTTAGTCTGGTTTAACGCCCTATTAACAGCTTAGATCATTTAAGGACGTGCCTCCATGTGTGTAGTGTTTTCGTGCTTGCGTGCGTGTATACACGAGACAGTGTATGTTGGTGTGCTTGCCTCCTTGTGACAGCGCGGATCCGATACCGACTTTATAGTGCCATCTCACTGAAATACCATGCCGAAGGCACCCAACACAGCATTCCGCTCGGTTACATTATACTGACAACGGGTGGGTGAACCAGTTGTTGCCATTCCCCTAAATGCTGAATGTTAAGCAGGGAATAACCACTACCATTTTTAAGGACTTTGGTATGTCCCGATGAGAAGAGTTATCAACAAATGTTTGTTTATCGTAGGAAATGTCCGAAGCGGCTATTGTTGACAATTTTTCCTTAACATTTTCTTTACTTCGTTATATATATTCCACCATATACTTAACGCATTTGTTTATTTCCTATGCATCACAATAGCATTTATTATTAGATAATAACATTATATCATGACCACTATATCATATCATTTTAATAAGATCACTTTATTAATACACATCATATACATGTATTACATATCATAAATAAACCATAGTTAATGCATTTGCTAAATGACTTTTCATTCAATGTCATATTCGGATACCACTAGGGAAAATTAAAGACAAACATTTTTTGTTTTTCATTTGTCACCTGAAGCTGTGCATACGTAGAGGCAGGTGTTATGTTTATTCAGTAGGCAGAAGGAATCAATATATAACAGTAGTGTCACCGTTACGTGATTGACAATATTTACATAAGCATAACATTATGATCGTTCACTATTGTCTGTCACACACACACATATATATTTATATCCCGTCTGGGTTACCTGGTGAGGTAATGATACACGGTTAGTTTTTTGAGAATTGTTATGCGAAAACCGCACACATCTGTGTAATGTGTAGGTCATAAAACTTGTATTCTCTAAACGTCAATTGTAGCTGTGCTCTTTGAATTACATACATACCTGTATTCTGTGTACGTCAAACACACCTGTTTCTGTGTACGTCAAACGCACCTGTATTATATGTACGTCAAACACACCTGTATGATGTGTACGTCAAACACACCTGTATTCTGTGTACGTATTCTCCATGTCATATATACACTGTACCTGTATTGTGTGTACGTCGAACACACCTGTATTCTCCATGTCATATACACACTGTACCTGTATTCTGTGTACGTCAAACACACCTGTATTCTTCATGTCATATTTACACTGTACCTGAATTTTGTATACGTCAAACACACCTGTATTATTCATATTATATATACACTGTACCTGAATTTTGAATACGTCAAACACACTTGTATTATTCATATTATATATACACTGTACCTGTATTAAGTGACGTCATATCAATCTGTTAACTGTGAACGAACGTCATATACTCCTGTATTATATGACGACGTACATACCGTACACCGTAACTGCAAAGATAAGATTTTTTTTCTTTCAGTATGGAGTTTGTGTTAGTTGTGCGGTAGTATCTCGTTTTAACAGTTGAGTGAGGGGAGGTAACTCTAACATGCCTATATCCACTGTGGTGTTACAGGAGCGGGGGATCTGAGGTTTATCTGGACGACACAACTATCCTAGAATACGCACTGTCCGTTTATGACACAAACTGCTCCATCCTATTTTCCGGTCGGGAGTTCGGAGAAAACCTGTACGGATTTGGTCTTAGTAAGGACGATGTCTGGCTCAGGGTACGTCTTCAAAGAAACAAAAACTATGAACGACTGCAAAAACATATATATATATATTTTTAATAAATATTGATAGATAGACAAAAAAAAAAAAAATCAAAAAAATAACCAGCTTCAAACAAATAAAAATACTGATTGCATAACTAAAACATATCTTTTTTTAATATTCATGATAAAAACCTGCACCACAGCATAGCGTGATGAAGTAAACAGTAATAACATTCGATGTTTTTAAGTATAAACCCAAAATGTATATTCGGATCCAAAGGCCGGGAACATTCAAAATGTCAAACATAAGCCCCCTTGTTGTTCGTGGTAGTCAACAATCGTCAAGCATCAGTCAGTTTTCGTTTGAAGACAAAATGCTTTATAAGTGATGACCTACTGTTTCAGGACCGTCTCTCTTCGCTGATAATGAGCTACCTTGAGAGTGGGTACATTGACGACATCCAGCGGAGGTATGTCAACCGTCGTGAGTGTAGTTCCCAAAGAAGTACGTACATCAAGTTCGGACTGGAGCACACGGGCGGTCTGTTCATTGGACTAGTGTGTGCTGTGTTCTGTGCCGTCATGCTGATCGGACTAGAGCACCTTATATACCTGTACCTCGTACCCTACATCAGAAACAAACGGTCGAACAGCAAGTGGAAAAGTCGGAACCTGGAGTTCATCAATCAGGTACGACTTCAATTTCAGCATCTAGTTTATAAGTTTTAATAAAATTTTCAATAACATGAACCAAGTAAGCTGCAAATTAAAATTTCTATTTGACCAACACTTTACTTGTCCATTCCACAGGGGAATGAAGAATGTTTTTTTTTTTTTTTTTACATTCCAACGGCTAAACTCATCCTTCTTTGAATTAATTGAGAGTTGCTGGGCTCATTTTTCGTTCCAAATCAGTTACAAATTTGGGCCTGTAACCCTTTACAATTACAATCACGCTACATTTATGGTCACAGCCATGACATTAGAGTTATTTTGAAGGGGTACGTTGTAAAACTTTATGTATAGACTTTTGAATATTTGACATCTGTGGAACGCATACTTTCCTGACGTTTATTTAAAGAAAAGTTTACAATTTCATGGTTTATTTGTAATATGATCTACCCTGGGGTCTGAGATCAATCATATGAATCATATTTAATAAGATAATGCTGCATGCAAATAATTTGCTTATACAACTTCAGTAAATTAGAACCACCTAATTATATTTATATCCTATTTTGTTTTAGAGAAGTTTAGACGAAAAGAATAAATTTAATAATGATGACAATCCTGATGATCAGGTTCTGGGATGCTAGTTTTCAGAACAATTCGATACATGTGTTTGATTTTATATGGTATTTGTATACAATGACAATATTGATGATGCATTTTTTATCGAAGGAAGTGACTTTCTTCTTCCAGCGTCTGTACCGAACCATTATGAGTCAAAAACTAGTGTCACCACAACAGACGGCACGGGAGATGGTCAAACTAATGAAGGACAGACAATTCGCCAGACTCTTCCAGAAAAACGAGCTGAGCCGTCCCGTATGTATTAATCACACACAATAGATTCTTCGTCTGGTACTCATCCCTGTTAATCCCCATCAATACTTTAATGTCATTAATGTCACGTACTTAAATATGCATGACTTATTAAAGCAAAGTCCTTGATCGGCAGTCTGAGGAGTGATTTACGCAGAATTTCATTTCAGTTAAATCTGATTCTAAGTACAACGCACGTTATCTTGTACCAAAAGCAGGAACACATCAGCGATTTATCAGATAGTGTGTTTATTTTTTAGCGATACATCATAGCATTTGTTTTTACGTTACAGAAAGCTACTCCCCAGAACGACTCGTCAGGACTCCGATTTATGGATCTCACTGACAGCATAATGAAGTAAGATTACAATCAACGATAATTAGAGATTACAATGAACCATAATTAGTTCTAATATATATAAGAGAAATAGGACATCGCCAGGAATCATTCTATTTATTTTTTTATGTCTTACGTAAGGTTAGGACTGTTTTGAAGTTCAACACAACGACTGCAATGACCCCGATATTAAACAGCAATAAAAAATATCATCTACATTTATATTAGAGAAAATATACAATTTCAAACTATGACTCACTGTTTTTCTTTTTACTATAAAATACTAATATATGTAAACAGAGCGAAGTGGATAGAGAGGTTCGTGTGAGGTAAATAATGGCAGGTTTTGATTGGCATCAGATCACTAACACTCTGTAAGTTAACTCATTCACCCTGAAGGCACATTTGAACTCTTCAAATTCAAAGGATGGAATAGTTCATTATGAAATTTAAGGGGTGAGTTAGAAAATAAAAAAGCTAGTTCAACACATGTTGTTTTTTCTTCACAGATCTCAAAAGAACCAGGACAAGCCTATCAAAGACACTAACGAAAACAGTGTCATCTTCTCAACATCGTCATCCGGGGCACTGTACCAGGTAGCCGAGGAAACCGAAACCGAGATAGAGGACTCTTTATTTGACAAGGTGAAATTCACGGTTGAGGATGAACATTCGTGTGAGGAAAAAGAACAATCGTTTAGTAATGTGTCGTCGACATTGGTGACGGTTGAAGTAGTACCTCCCCCCATGTCAACACCCAATAACCTTAAGCGGCCGGAGGAAGGAAGCCTTGATACTCACCAAGGTAGCAGACCAGACTCGAGTCCTGTTAATAGAGTGCAGGTTAATTGCTTGTGGAAAAGGCATTCATCTGCGAAATATCACGAACGGGACTCAGATCCGGTGATCCGCGAGGCCAGAACTAAACGTATACAATCTGAGACTTTTTCGGATAAACGGAAATTCCCCGAGAATACTTCAGAAACTAAAATCTCAGATACAAGTTTTTCCGAGAAGAAGCTTTCTGATAAAAAGCTTCCGGAAAACAGTTTTCCCGATAAAACAATGCATAATGATTTACATCGGAAGTTTGGAACATGGCCTTCGCTTCCGTCCATAGAGAATAACTCACCGGAAGTGTCACATAAAAGAAAGAAAAGTCATAAAAGCAGTCCTTCTATGACGTCATCTATGCTTGAGCAGACAACGTTAGATACCGCGAGACTTATACCGTCTGATAACGGTTACAGTGATTCTGAAGATAATGATAACGTTAATTATTACAAACATTCCTTGAAAATGAAGGACAACAGAGTGAAATCGACGATCAGACGACACGCGATTGCAAAGTTTCGTCGACAATCATCGTCAGTATTGGATGAATGCGCGGTAGATGCGCTGACAAAGGAAGACCTAATGGTCTTATGGAAACGATCGGAAATTGAACTTCAGACGAAACTCAACAGAGTGACATTGCAAAATGCACATCTAAAGAAGCTTCTCCGTATGGTAGACAAACGACGGACAAGTGAGGGGACAGATGAGCACCTCGACTCGGAGTTGTTGTGTACGCGACTATGATATTCTGGAATAAGAGGAATGGTAAACCAATTATCAGCGGGCGTTTGAAAAGTGAAACATGTTCGAGAAGTTCGAAAATGCCACAGTTCACTGCTACATGTATAGCAATGGTGAAGCTATCATATCTACCACGGCATCTGGATTAAACTACCATGGGAAGTATGTGTCAAGTGTTACGTATACAAGGATTATTATGTTTTAATACAACTTCAGCTGCTCTGACAGGATGAGGATATCCACTATGACGTCTTATTGTTACACCACAGCGTGCGTCCGTCCCAAACAGAACCGCACTGTACAAAACAGGGATAACGTGTGTGAGAGAGAAGGGAGATAACTCCAATTGGTTTATTATTTTATTTTCACACAATTTTCAAATTGCTATAGATCAAGTGGAATATACCATACATATATATATCTGTTTCACAAGCAAGAATTGAGTTATATATTTGTATATTCGTTAAATATCACAAGGTTTCATTTTAATTTGGAGCTTTATAACATATTGCCAGCCAAATGTACGTCTTTCCTAAAGACGTCTTGTTATGTGTTCCGGACCTTGTGTGTAAGGTGTATTGGATAAAATATGAGTTTATTGGCATTGGCTTCCGTTCCTTCAAATTCATACAGAATACACTCAAGTACACATATCAGTATCAGATAACAGTAATGAAGGTAGTACACGGTTATCCTCATTAACAGATACAATGTATATACTGATTGGGATAGCACACATATAGTGAAAATAGCTTAATAAAAAGACAGCAAGAAACGTCTATATTAGTTTATATAACAAGCTACATGTAAGTCTATATAAAAAAAATCTTAATAATCAAAAGAGCAAGAAAAGTCTTTAAAGTTTACATCATCAGCTATATACAAATTTATCCATATTTAAAAGATAACAAGAAATGTCTATATATGTTTAAATAACAAGCTAAGTAAAAATACAAATGTATACATATTTAAAAGACAGCGTGAAAGGTCTATATACGTTTACGAAACATGCTATGTCTATATACAAATTTATCCATATTTAAAAGATAACAAGAAATTTCTATATATATGTTTAAATGACAAGCTAAGTATATATACAAATTTATGCATAATCAAAAGACAGCGTGAAAGGTCTATATACGTTTACAGATAAAGCCACCTTCATACAAACACATCGATACAAAGTTTAAAGACAACAGTAAAGGTCTATTTAAATTTGTAGGTCTAAATAACAAGCCTCATATTAGTCTATAAGTGCAAATCCATGCATATCCTCCCATTTTACGGAGTATCTTCTTATTCATTGTCGAATAAAAGTCACTAACTAATGTATTGGCCATACTTTTACTGTCAGTGTTTAATATATTGTAAACCAGTAATACGTTGTCAATTAATGTTATGCTGTTAATTGATTATTTAATTTAAATCAGTTATATGATATCAAGTATTTGTATAATGTCAATTCGTTACATACCGTCAATGAAATATAAAGTGCTTGGGGAAATAGACGGTTATACAATTGTAACGTATACAAAACCCTTTTATCACATAAGAGTTATCTCCCCTACAACAATGTAACGATTGCTGAAGGGAAGGTTGCATCATTTGCGTTCACAATAATACTTTCTCCATACTGTAAATTGTTAAATGGTACGATTTCTGAGAACATTTCTATGAACAGGGTTATCTCAAGATATATAGATATGGTATAAATCTTTTAAATTTGATATGTGAATGTCTAGCTGGAAAATAACATCACACAATTTAATAAGTATTGGGTAGGGGTGGAGAGATGAATTGTTTGCATATGTTGTGCATAACATGCTTTTTATTACTTTTTTTCTTTGTTTATCAACTTGCCAGTGCAATGAATGTACTTAGGACGAATTCGGATGCAAACTTTATAGTTTTTGTTTATCTTGTAGTTTGGATAACACAATTTAAAATCATCACGGTATATAGTTGAGAGAATATCTTTCATCATAACGGAATGTTCATCATTGTATCGAATATTTGCTCATAGATTAATTAGGATAAATGAGATTGTACATTTGTGTGTATGTGACTTTGTTTGATAGATTATCATTTGGAATGCATTGTAAAATTGTGTGTACAAGACTGTGGGTGATAGATATGTTAGAATCCATTGAATATACTTGTGTGTACGACTGTGTTTAAGATGTAGATTAATTGGGATCAGTATACAACTTACATTTATAAATCCACGAGCACTTGTCATATGGAATATGCAATACATACGTATATAATTACATATAAGGCAAAATTTACCATTGCATTTAATTAAATTTGTCTCTAAAACTGCCCTATTTATTTCATCAAGACTTACATTAGAAATACAGATATTTCGAAAATGAGAAGTAATCAACATGTTGTTCTAAGTCTTATAAACCACCGACAATGTACCAACTACAGTTCGTGGTTTAAGGACACCAACAGTAAACAGCTTTACATCGTGCTTCGATGCCGGGCATTGTCTTAACGCATCACCAGTTCAACAAAAATCGACCAAGTACATATATGTACATACATCAACTCTAGGTAATGTTCAAAAAGCTCACGTTTAAAAACGACATATCTTAATGTGGCGTCATAATGCTTTTGATTATCCGCGATGCATTCATTTTCGTGATTCGAAGTTTATTTAGACATTCCTTTCTGATTACTTTGATATGAAGAATTTCGAAGAGCAAAAGTTTCAATTATCGGTACAAAAACGATTTGTGCTCTTTTTCATGCGTTTTGAATGCTCTAAATAGCAGCACTACCCAGTAAACACACGTGCATACACTGATCTATGTTAACCTTTATCTACCCCGTACTATCCCTACACTCATTTCTACTTGGAAAATCACGTATATTGTTTTCTAAATAAAATGTGAAGAACACGAATCCTTCGACTTGTGTTATTATGTAAAATGTTTTATCAGTGGTTCTAATTAAACAGATGGAATCTTGTATATTTTCAAAAACACTCATTCAAAAATAAAATATACTGTGAGTAGGGAGTCAAAATGATCCCCCGAAGACAAGAAAACCAAACATTCATGAACTAAATATACCACATATTGTGTTAGTATGAAGCTTTAAATACACCAAACTGTAAATGTACGGGATACGGTAGCACATGGTGTCTAGACAGTGAAAACTATCCAATAGGATTGGCAGTAGGGAAGCCTACATGTATCTATTACAATACGGAAGTCTATCTATTACAACAGGGAACCCTATCTATTACAATACTGAAGTCTATCTATTACAATAGGGTACCCTATCTATTACAATACTGAAGTCTATCTATTACAACAGGGAACCCTATCTATTACAATACTGAAGTCTATCTATTACAATAGGGTACCCTATCTATTATTTTAGAAGCAGTATACATATATATTACAACGGAGGATGTATATACTGTATATATATCACATTTAAATGCCGCATATCTTAGACAATATATATTATATAGTGGGTAAGTATATCTAAAATATTGCAATAACTAAAAAAAAAAAAAAACCAACA